CATTGAAATTGCTTTTTAGTCCAGGACTAGGCTTAAATTCTGGCCAAGAAACCAGCCCAAGATGGTTTACCTGAAAAACATGTGACTTTCATCTCCAGCCGACGGTCCCATCGTCTGCACCTCTCCTGAGCTCAGTTTCTCTTTCAGACACATGGGCAGGTACCTCTCCAGGTCCAGGATAATACAGGCACTCTGTGGACACACACACACCCAATCCAGACTTCTAAGCAAGTCACATACTTACACACAAACTGTGGTGTCGAGAAAACGATGCTAATTATGCTGTGATGATAAGAATTCCGCTGACGCTGTACTTTGATTATAAAGGTTTATTGTATCAAAGATCACAGTATCAATTTACAGACATCTGCAGATATCTGGAGAACAACGGCCCAATCTGTTAATATGTTGTTTCTCCCCGTCCTTTGTTCAAACATGGTATTTATCCTATGTAACATAAGATGGGTGGTTTTAGATAAACCAATCCCTGGCCTCCACATATCTCCAAATGTCCTCTATTCCAAGAAGCCTATGTAGCAATGCTTTTCCAAATTCTTCAGCAAAGCAGAGTAAAGTTAATCTATTACACCATTTGCAAATCTCAGCAAAATCAATAGACCTTTAGACAATACAAAACACATAAATGTAATGTCCTCTTATAAACTCATTATTGTCAGCCTTTTTCTTTTTAGAATCACTTTCCGACTGACTCGTCAGTGGGTTTGTTTACCTGTAGTATGAAACAGTTTGTTATGCTATGAGGTGCAATGGATCATGATGAACTGATATCAAAACAATCTGGCAAATTCATGTTCAATGATGAGACCACCCATTTTCATCATTAGTTAGCTCCTGCGTGCCACTCTTGACAGAGTCAAATACATCAAGCTACAATGCTTGCAGCTTTACCTCCAGTTAGTGCTTGTGGAATGAACACTGCGTGCAACAATTCCTGCTAAAGTGGACAAGCATGTCAATTGATTTTACATTGTAGAATAATAGTGAAGACATCAACACTATGAAATACCACATATGGAATCATGTAGTAACCAAAAAAGTATTAAACAAATAAAAATATATTTTATATTTGCGATTTTTCAAATAGCCACCCTTTGCCTTGATGATCGCTTTGCACACTCTTGGCATTCTCTCAACCAGCTTCACCTGGAATGCTTTTCCAACAGTCTTGAAGGAGTTCACACATATGCTGAGCACTTGTTGGCTGCTTTTTCTTCACTCTGCGGTCCGACTCATCCCAAACCATCTCAATTGTGTTGAGGTCGGGGGATTGTGGAGGCCAGGTCATGTGATGCAGCACTCAATCACTCTCCTTCTTGGTAAAATAGCCCTTACACAGCCTGGAGGTGTGTTGGGTCATTGTCCTGTTCAAAAACATGATAGTCCCACTAAGCCCAACCAGATGGGATGGCGTATCGCTACAGAATGCTGTAGTAGCCATGCTGGTTAAGTATGCCTTGAATTCTAAATAAATCACAGACAGTGTCACCATCAAAGCACCACCACACCATAACACCTCCTCCTCCATGCTTTACAGTGGGAAATACACATGCAGAGATCATCCGTCCACCCACACCGCGTCTCACAAAGACACGGCGGTTGGGACCAAAAATCTCAGTCCAAAGGACACATTTCCACTGGTCTAATGTCCATTGCTCCTGTTTCTTGGCCCAAGCAAGTCTCATCTTCTTATTGGTGTCCTTTAGTAATGGTTTCTTTGCAGCAATTCGACCATGAAGGCCTGATTCACACAGTCTCCTCTGAACAGTTGATGTTGAGATGTGTCTGTTACTTGAACTCTGTGAAGCATTTATTTGGGCTGCAATTTCTGAGGCTGGTAACTCTAATGAACTTATCCTCTGCAGCAGAGGTAACTCTGGGTCTTCCATTCCTGTGGCGGTCCTCATGAGATCCAGTTTCATCATAGCGCTTGATGGCTTTTGCGACTGCACATGAAGAAACTTTCAAAGTTCTTGAAATGTTCCGTATTGACTGACCTTCATGTCTTAAAGTAATGATGGATTGTCTTTTCTCTTTGCTTATTTGAGCTTTTCTTGCACTAATATGGACTTGGTCTTTTACCAAATAGGTCTATCTTCTGTATACCCCCTCTACCTTGTAACAACACAACTGATTGGCTCAAACGCAAAGAAAGCAGAGAGTGTGCAAAGCTGTCATCAAGGCAAAGGGTGGCTATTTGAAGAATCTCAAATATAAAATATATTTTGATTTTGATTGACACTTTTTTGGTTACACGATTCCATATGTGTTCTTTTATAGTTCTGATGTCTTCACTATTATTCTACAATGTAGAAAATAGTAAAAATAAAGAAAAACCCTGGAATGAGTAGGTGTGTCCAAGCTTTTGATAGATACTGTACATAAAGCCATGTTTAACACTAAGACCTGATCAATTTAAGTAACTAAACAGGAAGATTAAGTAGATCTAATGTACAATAATAGTTCTGGATTTGATAAAATTAAGTTGGATCTTAGCCATTTTTATGCTGCACTTAACTTGTAGTGTTTCACAAACAGTAATATATTAAGTATATTATACGTAAAAATACATCATGTTGGAAATACTCAAAAAGATTATGCAAATAATTGCCACATGTTATAAGTGGAACTAGCCCAATATTTTTTACAGTGTGTTTTTGTATCCAACTGGCAACCTTTTTGTCTTATTTTTGGATTACCTGCCATTTAAGCGCCTAACTTCCACTGACTTTATCACAACATTGTCACATTGCTCTTGTGCGTGAGTCTGTAAGAAATTAGTACCAAAATGTAGCACCTCTATTCAAGAGGGCGCATCAATTTACGTGGTAGACTTCTTATCAGGACTTGTCTCGCTGATAAGTGGTTGGTCCAGTTCATTTGGGGTGTCCATTGGGGTCCAATCCTTTGGGTGTGGCACACTGTTGTTAGGCTTGGAGTTAGATAAAGCAAAGGGGAGGGCCATACTGAATGGAAGGAAGATGTTGTCTGTCCTGCTCCTCCCACTCACTCACTAGACAAGAGGGGTGGCTTTGTTGTTGTTCTAGAATGTCTATGATGTCTATTTGTTTTCATACTTTTCATGATGAAAAGAAAAAGCTTAGGTCATTAGTACAGAATGATACCCGGAGCGTTTCATTTGTATATTATGTATTATTTTGAGTGTGTAATGTACAGTGTCTATTTTGTATAAAGCAGTACTGTGTGCCAAATACAATTTCCCCCTCGGGGACATTAAAGTTCATCCTATCCTAATTTAAATTGTTTAATATTGATACCTGACATGTTACTTGAATATCTTAATCTAACACTATCTTCATATGTAGTATATTGGTATGCCATCTTCTTTCACTAATTCAGCTAAAACAATGATAACTGAGATTTGAACTCACCCAGAAAGTATGTCATAAGGTGTTAACTCACAAGTGATCAGTGACCAGACAAGACAGTATAAAATACCAGTTTGCTCATTCACTCATTTCTTGTCTAGTCTTGATTCTAGATAGATAGAGTAAGCATGCATGGCAAAACTGTCAAGTTAATTAGCAAATGATACTTTATGGTGTTCTATACTGTACCTTTGTATGTATGTGTTGCCATAGTTACCCTACTAAACCCTTCTATTGCCCTAACCAACTCTGGTATGACCAACTGATCTGCCCCCAGAACCATACATTTGCCCGATTCACAACAACATTTTCTTTGCGGTCTGTAACGGTAACCTTTAGTCTGGTGGAAAAGATAGGTCTCTTCACTTTTTGCTGTGCCATGTAGACCTGTATGCCTGCCAATGGCAGTGAATGTGGTCTTTGTCATTAGTCCCACAATGCAAACCCACAATGATCAATTAAGAAACATTTAAGAGTATTACATGTGCTGAAATGAAACAAATACTTTTATAAGTCAAAAATTATGAAATATTCAAACAATAAGTGAACAATTTTGAAATGAAATCATACATGGTCATGAACACTAAAGTTGTAACTTGAAAGTACGACAAAAGTAAAACATTCAATCAACGTACTGTAGATTATAATAGAGGTTAACAGTAATTACTAAAAATAGCTAACTATGTATGCTAAATACAGTGATAAAACAAACAAACAATGTTAAAACAAAAGTGATAAAACAAACTATCCAGCAGTGAATAGCATAAGAATAGTTCCACAGAGGAACCCTATATGCTGTCACGCATGAGGTCGAGTTTAATTCCATAAGGAGTTGGCAAGAGAGCAGAAACAGACTGGCACCAAGGCTATCAGCACTCTCAGCGGGGTTGAAAGAACCCGGAAACATCCGGTTTTCAGGGGAAACGGAAGAGAGCCCGCTTTTGGACATGCGCCTCGCTATTTACAGTCCCCGGTGAAACATATAGCAGATGCCTATAGACTATAGTGCCTGTCTTTCCTTGAGATTAAGTTCTTGCCACAAAGTCGACAGAGACCACATATCAATTTTGTTCGTGTCAACTTTGTCGGAGATTCCATTATCGCTAGATAACGCTAGCTAATATCTGGTTAGCAGCTAGCTACGGCATGTGCTTGCTTGCTCTCTGAATTTCTTTTCATCCGGAATATTAACAAGGCGACACTTTATTTTTATTCCTCCTCCACATTTACTGCACTCTTAGAAAAAAAGGTGCAATCTAAAACCTAAAAGGGAACCATTTTAGAACCCTTTTTTGTTCTACATGGAACCCAAAAGGGTTCTACCTAGATCCAAAGAGTGTGGATTGGTTGAACAGTGCAGATGAGAACCTCTCTGACAGCTTTTCTCTCTCTCCTCATGACCAGAATGTGTGGCATCCCGCTCAGGTGTTTCTTTTACGCCGGCTTCTTTAGGTACGGCTAAGTGAGCTTCTGTCATGATTAAACCACTGGTGATAGGTCAGTGACCGGCTGCCATGATTAAACCTCTGGTGATAGGTCAGTGAGCTGCAGCCATGGTGTTAAAACTCAGTTGAAAACCCTGCTGCCATGGTGTTAAAACTCAGTTGATAGGTCAGTGAGCTGCTGCTCTTCTGGGGTTTGTTTTGTATCCTCTGTAGGACTGTTATGGTGTTCTGTGATGTTAGGGGAGTTGCTGTCTTTCCTGTAAGGGGAGAGGGCGAAATAACATTACATTTTATAACAAGAGTATCTTAATCTCCGTTACCAGGAAAAAATATTTGTACCTCAGACAAATATTTATTGTAAATGCCATACTTCTTCACGCTTTCAAACTTCCAGTGCTTATAGAACTCCCTCTTTTTCATCAGGTAGAGAAGAATCCAGTCACAGAACCAGGCCCCCTGCAACAAAATGAGGTCCATGAACATATATAATATAATCTTATATAATAAAATATACAGAATATACTATATACCTGTATTGAAGAGGAGGCTGGTGGGAGGAGCTATAGGAGGACGGACTCATTGGAATGGCTGTAATGGAATGAATGGAACAGATACCATTCCATTTATTCTAGGGCTGTCAAAAATAGCGCGTTAACGACGTTAATTAGTTGTTTGCTGTTAATTACGTCAATTTTTTTAACGCATTTCACGCATGCGCAGTGTGACAAATTATTCAGGTCAGGAAAGTGGTTGGGAGCTAGAGGCGAGATGGAGCAAGGCTCGCAAAGTTGTCGGTCATTTTAAGCACAGCCCAGCAAATGCTGCGGAGCTTCAAGCACAACAAGTCAGCCTGGGAAAGAAGCAAGAGCCATTGATCCAGGATGTTCCAACACGTTGGAATTCGACGCTGGAAATGGTCAAGCGCGTGAGCAGAAATAAAGAGGCTGTCATCACAGCCCTGGACAATCAGGAGCACAAACTCGTTTTGCCGACCGCAGCAGAGTGGGATAAACTGCAGAGGCTGGAGACACTTCTAGAGCCATGCAGGTAAATCAGTCTGTAACTTATCAAATAACATTGCTTTGATTATTTTCTGTAATGAATTAAACCAAGTCAAATATCAATAACATGTATCTATGTAAAAAATAATGATGATGATAATAATAATAATAATAATAATAATAATAATAATAATAATAATATGTTGATAACCACTGTTCTAATAATACACTGTCTCTGTGTGCATGTGTGTGTTTGTGTGCGTAGGTATGTAACTGAGCTCCTGGGTGGAGAGGCCTATGTCTCCTGTTCTGTGGTACTACCTTCTCTCTGCCACTTGCGTCTCAAGATGGAAGCCTGTGATGAGGACCCTGCATATGTGGTGAGATTCAAGACCAAGTTCAAGGAGGACCTAGCATCCCGTCAAGAACAGCTCAACAATGCATGGCTCCAGATTGCTACAGTTTTGGATCCTCGTTTCAAAGACTTGAAATGCCTGCCCAAGACAGACAGGGAAGAGGTGTGGACCACACTTGAAGGGATGCTGCAACAAGAATCACCCAGAAGGTCTTCACAGACACATGATGATGGGCCACCCAGGAAGAAAATCAGCCTTCTGCAAATGGGCTCAGATTCAGAATCAGAAGATGAAGAGGTCCAACCTGCCATACAGAGGTACAGAGCAGAGCCCACCATTAAATTGGAGGACTGCCCCTTGAGGTGGTGGGCATCTCATTCAGGAGCCCATGAGAAGCTGGCCTCACTAGCTCACAAATATCTAGCCACTCCTGCAACCACTGTTCCCTGTGAACGACTTTTCTCAGTTGCAGGTCACATTGTGAACAAGAAAAGGTCAGCTTTACTTTCAGAAAATGTGAACAAGTTAGTTTGCCTCAGCAACTGGCTGAAAGATGATGAAGCTTAGTAGATTTGAAAGGTGATGTTCAAACAAAAAGACCAGTTTCAGTGCAACATGTTATAGTAGTTAGCAACTGGATTTTTGAGCAACTGGATTAAAGAATGGAGGAAAAGGTAAAAGATTGTTCTTTGGTTTGATTTAAAAGTTTTATTGAAAATGTTTTTTTCCACAGATGACTCAAATTGTGCAAAAATGTGGTAGGTCACTGTTATGATTTGACTACATTTATTGCTTTCTGTTCAATTGAATACTGTAAATTGTACATCCTGGTTAAGAGGAATGCCAAAGAGGAAGTGATGGAACATTACAAAGACAAATATTATGGTGTGTAGTATGTTTCAGCTTGATTTAAAACACCATTATTTGGCTGTGTTAATAAACAGACATAATATGAAAATTATGTATCTGTGTCCTGTTATTTATCTTTTGGTATGCATTTCAGAAAAAAAATGGTTAGGATTCAGGTGTAATTGCAAATAGTGATTAATCATGATTAATCCACTGAAAATTCTGATTAATTTGATTTAACATTTTAATCATTTGACAGCCCTAATTTATTCCATTACAGCCATTCCAATGAGCCTGTCCTCCTACAGCTCCTCCCACCAGCCTCCTCTGTTGTATTCACAAGTATAGTCTATACGAAATGTCATCTTTTCAAAGAAACAAGTTGGTCTGAAAGTGTTGTTTTGACTGTACAGGTATGTACAGGTCTGATGAATAATACTTACACCACCAATACAAGCTAGTCCTGAGCCTATATTGATAACAGTGGGGATGATACAGAACTTTCCAGCCTGTAGTAGAAAATAGAAGAAAGTAACAATAAGGGAATCAAAACATCAGGAAACAAAATAGATGCATTCATCCTGAAAAGCCATAGAATTAGACATATTTCTCATACCATTCCATGCACTATGATGTTGATGCGTATGCCATACACTTTGAATTGTGTTCGGTAGATTTGTCCAGAATCACTTTTGTAACGGCGAGCATGTCTGTTATGAGAGTACCAAAAATGTGGAAGATTAAAGTATGAGTTCAAATTAAGTATTATGTGTTAACTTCTTGTGTGTGTGTGTGTGTGTGTGTGTGTGAGCGCGCGTCACCTGAAGTTGAATCCTGTGGACTCGCTGGACCCATTAACGTCAATGCGAGTAAAGGTGTACCGTGGCTGACATTCTGAGTGATCTCTGTCAAGATCACAATTCCACCCAATCAGAATTCCAATTGAACCACCCTGGAGAGAGAGTATTGATAGCAAAATGCTCTATTATTTACATTATTTATGTATTTTGTTGGTGGCTTGCTCTTTGATGGTATGCACATCTTACAGAGTGTGCATTTAACTGCTTAATGTAATTGAAAAAATCAACCTCATGAACATCGACATCAATAACAACAACAAATACACTTTCCGATTGTGAAAACTGACCTTCAAAGCCATGTCCTGAAAGCTGTGTCCAGTTTGGTTAACAATGTCTCCCAGACGAAATATGGGGCAGTAGGGTTCAAGGAGCTCATCGTAGTGACATTTCTTCAGATGGAATTTGTCATCTGTGTCCTGAATGTTGGCCCTGATAATTGGGTTAAATGTTTTTATATCAAAATGCAGACAGCAAACACTCTCTGAAATACTTCATATTAACCGATTTAAAAGACTCCAGCTCTAGTTTATACACTTAAACATTTAAAGGACGCTCTGGAAGAAAACCATCTGTCTATTTTGTATGTGGTTTTAACATAGATAACTTACTTTGAGAAACTGAATTTGGGAAATCGGATGAAATTTTTTATGTAGATGGTGAAGTTTTCAGCTTCTCTTAACATAGACATGCGTTCATGTCCATCCCTGAAGGAATGAAAGGGAAGGAAGATTACTACTGCATACACATGCTCATGTGTGTGTATGTACAGTGGGGAAAAAGTATTTAGTCAGCCACCAATTGTGCATGTTCTCCCACTTAAAAAGATGAGAGAGGCCTGTAATTTTCATCATAGGTACACGTCAACTATGACAAACAAAATGAGAAAAAAAAATCCTGAAAATCACATTGTAGGATTTTTAATGAATTTATTTGCAAATTATAGTGGAAAATAAGTATTTGGTCAATAACAAACATTTCTCAATACTTTGTTATATACCCTTTGTTGGCAATGACACAGGTCAAACGTTTTCTGTAAGTCTTCACAAGGTTTTCACACACTGTTGCTGGTATTTTGGCCCATTCCTCCATGCAGATCTCCTCTAGAGCAGTGATGTTTTGGGGCTGTCGCTGGGCAACACGGACTTTCAACTCCCTCCAAAGATTTTCTATGGGGTTGAGATCTGGAGACTGGCTAGGCCACATTTCCACCGATCTAATGTCCATTGCTCGTGTTTCTTGGCCCAAGCAAGTCTCATCTTCTTATTGGTGTCCTTTAGTAGTGGTTTCTTTGCAGCAATTCGACCATGAAGGCCTGATTCACACAGTCTCCTCTGAACAGTTGATGTTGAGATGTGTCTGTTACTTGAACTCTGTGAAGCATTAATTTGCGCTGCAATTTCTGAGGCTGGTAACTCTAAATAACTTATCCTCTGCAGCAGAGGTAACTCTGGGTCTTCCATTCCTGTGGCGGTCGTCATGAGAGCCAGTTTCATCATAGCGCTTGATGGTTTTTGCAACTGCACTTGAAGAAACTTTAAAAGTTCTTGAAATTTTACAGGTTGACTGACCTTCATGTCTTAAAGTAACGATGGACTGTCGTTTCTCTTTGCTTATTTGAGCTGTTCTTGCCATAATATGGACTTGGTCTTCTACCAAATTGGGCTATCTTCTGTCTACCCCCCCTACCTTGTCACAACACAACTCATTGGCTCAAACGCATTAAGAAGGAAAGAAATTCCACAAATGAACTTTTAAGAAGGCACACCTGTTGATTTGAAATGCATTCCAGGTGTATAGCTCATGAAGATTGTTGAGAGAATGCAAAGAGTGTGCAAAGCTGTCATCAAGGCAAAGGGTGGCTATTTGAAGAATCTCAAATAAAAAATATTTTATGATTTGTTTAACACTTTTATGGTTACTACATGATTCCATGTGTGTTATTTCATAGTTTTGATGTCTTCACTATGATTATACAATGTAGAAAATAGTAAAAATAAAGAAAAACATAGATAGCAATAAAAACGAACATAGAGGCTCAGAATAAATTAGAGGAAAACAAAAATAAATTGAGAAATATATTATAAAAATAAAGCAAACTGGATGGAATATGGGGGAAAATGCACCAAATTATTTTTTTATCTTCAACATAGAAATGCTACCAAAAATAATTTACTGGAACTGGTTACAAATGACGGAGTCACCCATGATTCACCAAATGTTATTTTGAAGGAACGAAGCAAAGTACTTTAAGCATATGTTTTCATTTCAGTCGCCTCCATCTCCTCTAACTGAAGCTAATTGTAGGGATTTTTTTTCTATTGATAATGTAAAATTAACAGCCATACAGAAATACTCATGTGAAGGTGAAATTACAGAGGAGGAACTTCTGGATGCAAATAAAGACTTTAAGTCCGGGAAAACTCCAGGGTTGGATGGCATACCAGTTGAGGTTTACCAAACCTTTTTTGATATACTCAGAGGACCGTTATTAGCATGTTTTAACCACTCCTATGTAAATGGTAGATTATCAGACACTCAAGAGGAAGGTCTGATTTCAATGTTCCTGAAACAGGATACAAGTGGGAAATATAAAGATCCAGTCCATTTAAAAAATTGGAGGCCCCTTACACTTCAGTGATGTGATGCAAAAATTCTAGAAAAATGTATAGCGCATAGAATAAAAAAGGTATTGTAGGACATTATTCATTCTAATCACACAGGTTTTTTACATGGACGATACATTGGAGATAATATAAGGCAAGTACTGGAAACAATAGAACACTATGAAAAATCTGGGGAACCAGGCATGCTATTCATAGCAGACTTTGAAAAGGCAATTGATAGAGTACGACTGGTGTTTATATATAAATGCCTGGAGCATTTCAATTTTGGAGAATCTCTTATAAAATGGTTTAAAATCATGTAGAGTAACCCTAGGTGTAAAATAGTACATAATGGCTATTTCTCAGAAAGTTTTAAACTGTCAAGAGGAGTGAAACAAGGTTGTCCACTATCGGCATACCTATTTATTATGGCCATCGAAATGTTAGCTATTAAAATCAGATCCAATAATAATATCAAGTGATTAGAAATCCAGGGCTTAAAAACAAAGGTGTCATTGTACACTGATGATTCATGTTTTATTTTAAATCCATAACTTGAAAATCCACAGCCTCATATAGGATCTAGATACATATTCTAACCTCTCTGGATTACAACCAAATTATGATAAATGGACTATATTACATATTGGATCACTAATAAATACAATTTTTACATTACCATGTAGTTGACCAATAAAATGGTCTGATGGTGATGTGGATATACTCAGAAGTTTACAAACACTTAGGTTGGTTCATTAAAACTCGTTTTCCAACCACTCCACACATTTCTTGTTAACAAACTACAGTGAGGGAAAAAAGTATTTGATCCCCTGCTGATTTTGTACGTTTGCCCACTGACAAAGACATGATCAGCCTATAATTTTAATGGTAGGTTTATTTTAACACTGAGAGACAGAATAACAACAAAAAAATCTGGAAAAATGCATGTAAATTTTTTTATAAATTCAATTGCATTTTAATGAGGGAAATAAGTATTTGACCCCTCTGTAAAACATGACTTAATACATTTACGTCATTTAGCAGACGCTCTTATCCAGAGCGACTTACAATTAGTGAGTGCATACATTATTTTTTATTTTTCATACTGGCCCCCCGTGGGAATCGAACCCACAACCTTGGCGTTGCAAACGCCATGCTCTACCAACTGAGCTACATCCCTGCCGGCCATTCCCTCCCCTACCCTGGGCCAATTGTGCACCGCCCCATGGGTCTCCCGGTCGCGGCCAGCTACGACAGAGCCTGGATTCGAACCAGGATCTCTAGTGGCACAGCTAGCACTGCGATGCAGTGCCTTAGACCACTGCGCCACTCGGGAAATTACTTGGTGGCAAAACCATTGTTGGCAATCACAGAGGTCAGATGTTTCTTGTAGTTGGCCACCAGGTTTGCACACATCTCAGGAGGGATTTTGTCCCACTCCTCTTTGCATATCTTCTCCAAGTCATTAAGGTTTTGAGGCTGACGTTTGGCAACTCAAACCTTCAGCTCTCCCCACATATTTTCTATGGGATTAAGGTCTGGAGACTGGCTAGGCCACTCCAGGACCTTAATGTGCTTCTTCTTGAGCCACTCCTTTGTTGCCTTGGCCATGTGTTTTGGGTCATTGTCATTGTGGAATACACATCCACGACCCATTTCAATGCCCTGGCTGAGGGAAGGAGGTTCTCACCCAAGATTTGACGGTACATGGCCCCGTCCATCGTCCCTTTGATGCAGTGAAGTTGTCCTGTCCCCTTAGCAGAAAAACACCCCCAAAGCATAATGTTTCCACCTCCATGTTTGACGGTGGGGATGGTGTTCTTGGGGTCATAGGCAGCATTCCTCCTCCTCCAAACACGGCGAGTTGAGTTGATTCCAAAGAGCTCGATTTTGGTATCATCTGACCACAACACTTTCACCCAGTTCTCCTCTGAATCATTCAGATGTTCATTGGCAAACTTCAGACGGGCATGTATATGTGCTTTCTTGAGCAGGGGGACCTTGCGGGCGCTGCAGGATTTCAGTCCTTCACAGCGTAGTGTGTTACCAATTGTTTTCTTGGTGACTATGGTTCCAGCTTCCTTGAGATCATTGACAAGATCCTCCCGTGTAGTTCTGGGCTGATTCCTCACCGTTCTCATGATCATTGCAACTCCACCAGGTGAGATCTTGCATGGAGCCCCAGGCCGAGGGAGATTGACAGTTCTTTTGTGTTTCTTCCATTTGTGAATAATCGCACCAACTGTTGTCACCTTCTAACCAAGCTGCTTGGCGATGGTCTTGTAGCCCATTCCAGCCTTGTGTAGGTCTACAATCTTTTCCCTGACATCCTTGGAGAGCTCTTTGGTCTTGGCCATGGTGGAGAGTTTGGGATCTGATTGATTGATTGCTTCTGTGGACAGGTGTCTTTTATACAGGTAACAAACTGAGATTAGGAGCACTCCCTTTAAGAGTGTGCTCCTAATCTCAGCTCGTTACCTGTATAAAAGACAACTGGGAGCCAGAAATCTTTCTGATTGAGAGGGGGTCAAATACTTAATTCCCTCATTAAAATGCAAATCAATGTATAACATTTTTGACATGCGTTTTTCTGTTTTTTTGTTGTTGTTATTCTGTCTCTCACTGTTCAAATAAACCTACCATTAAAATTATAGACTGATCATGTCTTTGTCAGTGGGCAAACGTACAAAATCAGCAGGGGATCAAATACTTTTTTCCCTCACTGTATAGTTTTGGCAAGTCAGTTAGGACATCTACTTTGTGCATGACACAAATAATTTTTCCAACAATTGTTTACAGACAGATTATTATTATTATTATTATTATTTATTTTATTTTTTTCACTTATAATTCACTGTATCACAATTCCAGTGGGTCAGAAGTTTACATACACTAAGTTGGCTGTGCCTTTAAACAGCTTGGAACATTCTAGAAATGGATGTCATGGCTTTAGAAGCTTCTGATAGGCTAATTGACATTATTTGAGTTAATTGGAGGTGTACCTGGGGATGTATTTCAAGGCCTACCATCAAACTCAGTGCCTCTTTGCTTGACATCATGGTAAAATCAAAAGAAATCAGCCAAGATCTCAGAAGAAAAATTGTAGACCTCCACAAGTCTGGTTCATCCTTGGGAGTAATTTCCAAATGCCTGAAGGTACCACGTTCATCTGTACAAACAATAGTACGCAACTATAAACACCATGGGACTATGTAGCTGTCATACCGCTCAGGAAGGAGACGCGTTCTGTCTCCTAGAGATGAATGTACTTTGGTGCGAAAAGTGCAAATCAATCCCAGAACAACAGCAAAGGACCTTGTGAAGATGCTGGAGGAAATAGGTACAGAAGTATCTATATCCACAGTAAAACGAGTCCTATATCGACATAACCTGAAAGGCCAATCAGCAAGGAAGAAGCCACTGCTCCAAAACCGCCTTAAAAAAGCCAGACTACGGTTTGCAACTGCACATGGGGACAGAGATCGTACTTTTTGGAGAAAAGTCCTCTGGTCTGATTAAACAAAAATAGAACTGTTTGGCCATAATGACCATTGTTATGTTTGGAGGAAAAAGGAGGTAACTTGCCAGCCGAAGAACACCATCCCAACCGTGAAGCACGGGGGTGCCAGCATCATGCTGTGGGTGTGCTTTGTTGCAGGAGGGACTGGTGCACTTCACAAAATAGATGGCATCATGAGGAAGGAAAATTATGTGGATATATTGAAGCAACATCTCAAGACATCAGTCAGGAAGTTAAAGCTTGTTCGCAAATGGGTCTTCCAAATGGACAATGACCCCAAGCATACCTCCAAAGTTGTGGCAAAATGGCTTAAGGACAACAAACTCAAGGTATTGGAGTGGCCATCACAAAGCCCTGACCTTAATCCTATAGAAAATGTGTGGGCAGAACTGAAAAAGCATGTGCGAGCAAGGAGGTCTACAAACCTGACCCAGTTACACCAGCTCTGTCAGGAGGAATGGGCCAAAATTCACCCAACTTATTGTGGGAAGCTTGTGGAAGGCTACCTGAAACGTTTGACCCAAGTTAAACAATTTAAAGACAATGCTAACAAATACTAATTGAGTGTATGTAAACTTCTGACCAACTGGGAATGTAATGAAATAAATCAAAGCTGAAATAAATAATTCTCTCTACTATTATTCTGACATTTCACATTCTTAAAATAAAGTGGTGATCCTAACTGACCTAAAACAGGGAATTTTTACTATGATTAAATGTCAGGAATTGTGAAAATCTGAGTTTAAATATATTTGGCTAAGGTGGATGTAAACTTCCGACTTCAACTGTACATAGAAGTGGTTAAAACATGCTAATAACGGTCCTCTGAGTAAACAAAAAAAGGTTTGGTATATCTCAACTGTTATGCCATCCAGCCTGGAGTTTTCCCGGACTTAAAGTCTTTAATTGCATCCAGAAGTTCCTCCTCTGTAATTTTGCCTTCACGTGAATCTTTCTGTACGGCTGTTAACTTTACACTAAGAAAGCTTTGTTGTAGAGCGTTTAACACAAAATCCGGGGAGGGGCCAGCTGAGTATAAGACTGTATAATCTGCATATAAATGGATGAGAGAGCATCCTACTGCCTGAGCTATGTTGTTGATGTAAATTGTGAAGGGCTTGGGGCCTAGGATCAAGCCTACTAGTCTACTGGTGTTGAGAGAGAGAGGTAAGTGTGAGGTAAATATTGTTTTCTGTATTTCTCTATCGACAATGTTTTTCCATTCTTGATCAAAGAGAGGGTTATTGGGGCAAGAGTGGACATTTTGTAGGTGGTTTCTGAATAGTATTGCTTTTGCTTTGTTATCTTCTATGAGTTGGTCTTGGGACTTCAACACAGGTATGAAATTGTTGGTTGTGTCTCCGTTAATGCTTTTCGCTTTTTCTGCCTCCATGCTGCTTCTGCAAGGCTTTAACTACAGGCTTCAATCTGCTGTGAACCAATGGGAATACATTTAAATTACTTTACTTGCATTCTCTCGAGGGGGGGGGGTGCCAATCAGACTCGAGTTGCTCCGGTTTTCTCCCTTTGTTACACTCCAGTGATTATCGGCAATGCTCCTATGAATCCACTCAGTGACACTCCAAAACAAAACGTAAGTGAAATCACACAAAATACGCTCATGAAAATGAGTGAGAGCAAGCCATTTCCTGGTAGAATGCAAAACATTTTCATTCGATTTTGTCAATCATGACATACTTACTGTGGTTTGTGGCAACTCTCAACGGGGCACCAGCTATATATCTCACATGTACCACTGGATTTCCCATTGTCTCTCAAGCAGCGGCCTGTCCTAACTCCTACAGAAAATTATATTTTATGTTTGTGAAGAGTAAATGAGGCAGAATATATAATTTCTTGTTTCAATTTGTTTCAATTCAATTTGAGTCTTCAAAGATTGCTACCATGGCCAGCTTTCACCGACTCTCCCTCTGCACAGTCTTCATCTATCTTACAGAAGCCATCCAGCACACCTGGGCTCTGTGAAACAATACCACACAAACTGGTATGGTTTAACAAATACAGACCAAATACAGATCAAATACAGAGTATATTGCCTTTTTTAAAGGGTGATTAAAGGTGACAACACAAAGCAATGAAAGGGAATTTCCTTACCTCAGCACAGTTGCCCAACTTCTGGTTTGGTGTCTCTATAAAATTGGTAACAATGAAAAAAACTGCTTCCCCCTATAGGAAAAAATAAAGGGGTGTTAAACCAGCCTGGTATCAACTGATAAGCGTCAGTGTGGCACACATTTGCAGAAGAATATGGTCCCGAGACGCGACACATAAGTCAATACATTGTATTTAATGCGAAAAGATATGCGTCAAGGCTTTGATGCATTAATCAATACATTGCATTCAAGGCAAAAAAGATGGTGATAAAGCTGCAATAGGTAAATTGGTGAAAGACTGCCTGCCTGTCTGTCTGTCTGTCCGAGTCTTTCATCAATTTACCCATTGCAGCTTTATCACCAACTTTCTGGCCTTGAATGCAATGTATTGACTTATCTGTTCATCAATCTACTTAATGCATATACACCTCCACCTCTATCTCCTCTCTCCCACCTCCACATACAGGATATTGACGCATAGATATTATATTGGTTAGTCTGACCTGGGGTGGAATGACATAGTCCACAGGCCCCCAAACCATCCGTCCGGACTCTGAGGTGTTGGTGACTGCCACTCCCTTCAGTTTGGTAATCACAGCACTCTGGATAGATTCCTCTTTGGCCTGGTAGGACTTCTTGCTCAGGAATACATACCTGTGTAGACCAGGAGGACAATATAGCTATCTCAATTGGGATTTTAAAAAAATATCTGCTTCAGCTTAGAAAATGTGGAGGTTACTGTCTGATAGGGGTTTAAAATATCGATTGGAATATATTTTTGCATGTTAAGTTTGTGAACTAACAAATATCTGTACTAGATTGTATTGTATTAATAACATTTCATATGCCCTTAGATCGTTATAAGGGCATACATCTTGAAAATGTTAAAATTAATTTGTTGAGTCCCTTACCCAACAAGGTATCCAATGATGGATAATTGTATAACTCTGTACAAAGTGCCGACTCTCTTGCTTTTTGCAATGATGAATTTTCCTGTCTTGTAGTCAAGGAAGGAAAGAACATTCAAAATAACGTTGCTTTTCCAGCTATTGGAAGCCATTCCCCGGCGGTGATACTGTAAATCTGAAGACAACAGTCGGTTATACAGCCACTGCAACCCTTGAACCCACAGAAGCCATCACAGTTCAGCACTTCTACATGGGGGCCACAATGACCAGAGCAAAATAAACTACTTTGGGAAATGTTTTGATGTTGATTTCAGCGTAATTTCAGTGGGCTAGTGTAACACTCATTATATTCCAAATATACATTAAAACTCAAGTAAAAAAAATATCATAAAATGAGATCATAGTTTAGTTTCTTACCCTGGTCTATGAGATTATTGAAATCTGGAATCAAATTCAAATCTTGTCTCTACCCATCAGCTTTTATATTAAAAACAACGTAATGATGACATCATTTCCTTAGGTCATATATCAATTCAGCAAATGAGTTTCAAGGGGCATGGCTTTTAAATCTTCTGAAGAGACAGCTTGTGCACATAGAAACAAAAAAAAAGCATTCCGTTGACAACCAGTTGTAGAGCAGCATGATTTACAAGAAATGCGTGGCAGACTTAGAAGAAGTCACATGATGTAGAGGTTCACAGGTGCAAGTTGTTGCAACATTTTTCCACAGCCTATGATGTTCTGTACAAAACACCAGTACACACTGGAATGTAAATGATTTCCGCTTTTGCATGAGACCAACGTTCTGAAACGAATGGATGCTTTTGTTGTTGGTTTTAGGATGACATGGAGGGGAAATATGTGTCAGAACAGTAGGCCTATGTGTGGTTTTCAATCTGAGGCAAATATGTCAAAGCTGTCAACCAACAGTTTGCAAGGTGTCAAAAGTTTGAAGTAAGTATTTCACTTCACTTCACCACAAGGTCACAGGTCTCATGTCCGGTAGGTTATTTCCGTTTTGAATATATTGAAGAAAAGGCTTGCTCTAACTAACCACCCTCTATGTTCTCACTTATCAGTCTCAAAAGAAAAAATACACTTTAGCAGCAGATCAGACTTTATTTTACATTTTTACAAAGCATGTTGAGATTTATAAGAGGAAAATCATGTTTCACTTTCCAGATTATTTTAAAAAATTGAATCTGTATTTAGTTCTTTGGAGCAAACATTTTAAAATAAAAACGCTGAGGCAATTCACACCTATGTCAACATAAATGTACAGTAGACATATGAGTAATATTTTATAGTAAACCTTACAGCGTAAGTCAATTATCTCCATATGTAGAAATATACAATAAGTAACAAAATAATTAACAAATTCTAAACAAAGTGGCTCATGAATCACGTGGCTTTGTCATATTTCAAAGTTCTAATAATACAAAATTCAAAAGACACTTGCACATCTGAGCTATCTTTGTTGCAGGTGCATGGTAACAGTTGAATAAGATGAGAAAAAAGAAGAAACCCGCACACTGCTTTTGCTAGTATCGTTTCTCTTTATTAAGATATTACGTATTGGCCTCAAGGCCGTCGTCATCGCTTTTGTGAGTGTTTATAATTTGCACCCTTATATAGACATTGCTCCACCCACATCCGTTCAATGGATCGAATGGGGTTGGAGTCGAGTGGAAATAAGCAAGTGTTCCAAATATAACAATGTGCATTTCATAAGTATTCTAATAAAGTGTGTACATAAAACAAGTCTGTAAAACCACAATGAGGACATCGACCTATCAAGTAAGTTTTCATAAATCATTGGGTACAGTGCAAGAAAAAACGTCAGAGTTATCTGAAGTGGTGGCATTAATTAATGTTTACATTTACAACATAACATGCATGTGCATTTCATCATTAAAACCTTTTGGGAATAATGTCTGGAGGGTGAAAATCCAAAAACATTCTCTTTTGCTCAGAGTATTATTTATATCACCTCCACTATCACATACACTATGAATTCGCGCAAAGTGGGAGATGCTGTCAAGAAACACTGGCATGTTTTATAATCGGACCCAGCTATGCCAGTTTAATTTAAGAAACCACCACTTATTGTATATAGGAGAGAGATCGCAATTTACGCGACAAATTGGTCCATGCCAACTGCCATCCACAAAATAAAATGAGCCAGGCTCTCTTCCGAATGGTATGCAGAAATTGCGCTAAGTGCAACAATATGATGAAGTGTGAATATTTCTGCCACCCACATACAGGAAAACGGTTCCAAATCAATGACATTATTACGTGCTCTACCACCCATGTTATCTACATGATTAAATGTCCATGTGGGCATGTAGGTAAAACATCTCGTTCTCTCAAACAGAGAATTAGTGAACATAAAAGTTCAATCAGGAGAAACGACAGGGATTATCCAGTTGCAATACATTATAATGACCAAAAACATGACATTTCTACCTTTAGATTTTGTGGCATAGAGAAAGTCAAGATATCAGACAGGGGAGATGATATAAATAATACTCCAGACATTATCCCCAAAAGGTCTTAATGATGAAATGCCCATGCATTTTTTGTTGTAAATGTGAACATTAAATTAATGCCACCACTTCAGATTACTCTGACGTTTTTTCTTGCACTATACCCAATTATTTATGAAAACCAGGTCGATGTCCTCATTGTGATTTTACAGCAGTGATACTAGCAAGAGCAGCGTGCAGGTTTCTTATTTTTTCTTAAAATTGTAAAAGTGTGCTATATTTTAAATGAGTAATATTTTATGAAACCTTACAATATAAAATATTTTTAAACACAGTCATCACAGTAATCTATAAGTCAATTATCTTGAATATGTAGAAATGTACAATACAAAAAAAAAATACAAAAGAATATTGAAAAAAATACTAAAAACAAAGCATCTCTTGGATCACATAGCTTTTTCATATTTCAAAGTTCTCATTAAATCAGTCAAAAATGCTAATTCCTTAAGGGCATTTTGGCTGCTATGGCTAAAGTTCAGTGGAACACCATGCAGATCCAGCTTGCAGTTGAAATGTTAATTTATGGTAAAATCCCCCCAAATTACACAAGGCTCCAGCTTTCAAAAGGCTAATTTAGCATTTAGCACTAATCTTACCAGTGACAGAGCATCACTCAGCAACTAAGAGGTGTTATCCTCTTGATGGAATTGTTTGAAAAAGCCACACTGCAAATTCAAAAAGGAAAAATTAGAACAGTGATGCCTTGATACTTTAACCAAATTAATGTACTGTACACACATTGCAGTCAGAACTTGAAATCTTTCAAATATTTATTGTGTTTGATTTAGCCTGTCTTGAGTGCCAGATTGGCAGGGTTGGCACTTCTACGACTATTCTATTGGTTCCATTGCCACATGCAAGCTCAATCAAGCCCAGGTAAAGTAGTTGCGAATGTGTTTGATGTACAAAAATATCCAAAACACTCATTATTACCTTAACGAGTATGACAATGATTATGGCTAGGAAAAGAAAGCCTCCAATGGAGCCTCCGATGATGGCGGGCAATGATTTTTCCACTGACAATTTGATTATCATCACCTCCACCTAAGAAGCAGAACCACAAACAGAGCAGACAGAGCAAGATAGTTAAACTTTTCCAATAATGTAGGTAAATGAATAAATATAATTTTTGGAACTATCTATTCTATTGTTTAAATCGGACATCTCTATTAATGAACGTTTAACCCACCAATTCCATCCATCTCAATTCCAGTGCTTCGAATCTGTCTTCATCAAATCCACGAGTGGCTTTAGCTGTAATCTTCTGATTTACCCTGTAATGATTGATGATGGATGGTCACAACAAAGCATTTTGGGACATAAAAATCATAAAATGGGCAAGGATCTTCACTTCTATATTACAGAGGAAGTCAATAAAAGTGTATCTACCAACCTGAACTTCTCTGATTGAAGCTTCAGCCTCAACTGTGATTTCCTGTACATCATTGAGTGGCGCAGTGGTCTAAGGCACTGCATCGCAATGCTAACTGTGCCACTAGAGATCCTGGTTCGAATCCAGGCTCTGTCGCAGCCGGCCGCGACCGGGAGACTCATGGGCGGTGCACAATTGGCCCAGCGTCGTCCAGGGTAGGGGAGGGAATGGCCGGCAGGGATGTAGCTCAGTTGATAGAGCATGGCGTTTGCAACGCCAGTGTTGTGGGTTCGATTCCCACGGGGGGCCAGTATATAAAAATAAAAAAAAATAAAAAATAAAAAATGTAATCACTAACTGTAAGTCGCTCTGGATAAGAGCGTCTGCTAAATGACTGAAATGTAAATGTAAATCTATGACTGCACACTGAATGAGATACTCTCCGAAGGCCTAGAGGAATAACACATATTTACTACTCAAAAGGCAACATGCTCTCATTATGTCAAAATAATTACATTTAACCATTGTAGATATACAATACATTACCAAAAGTATGTGGACACCTGCTTGTCGAACATCTCATTCCAGAATCATGGGCATTAATATGGAGTTGGTCCCCCCTTTGCTGCTCTAACAGCCTCCACTCTTCTGGGAAGGCTTTCCACTAGATGTTGGAACATTGCTGCGGGGACTTGCTTCCATTCAGCCACGAGCATTTGGGAGGTCAGGCACTGATGTTGGGCGATTAGGCCTGGCTCGCAGTCGGCGTTCGAATTCATCCCAAAGGTGTTGGATGGGGTTGAGGTCAGGGTTCTGAGCAGGCCAGTCAAGTTCTTCCACACCGATCTCGACAAACCATTTCTGTATGGACCTCGTTTTGTGCACGGGGGAATTGTCATGCTGAAATAGGAAAGGACCTTCCACAAACTGTTGCCACAAAGTTGGAAGCACAGAATCGTCTAGAATGTCATTGTATGCTGTAGCATTAAGATTTCCCTTCACTGGAACTAAGAGGCCTAGCCCGAACCATGAAAACAGCCCCAGACCGTTATTCGTCTTCCACCAAACTTTACAGTTGGCACTATGCATTGGGGCAGGTAGCGTTCTCCTGGCATCCGCCAAATCCAGATTAATCCGTCGGACTACCAGATGGTGAAGCGTGATTCATCACTCCAGAGAATGCGTTTCCACTGCTCCAGAGTCCAATGGCGTAGATTTTTACATCACTCCAGCCGACGCTTGGCATTGCTCATGGTGATCTTAGGCTTGTGTGTGACTGCTCAGCCATGGAAACTCATTTCATGAAGCTCCTGACGAACAGTTGTTGTGCTGACGTTGCTTCCAGAGGCAGTTTGGAACTCGGTAGTGAGCGTTGCAACCGAGGACAAACTATTTTTACGCTCTACGCGCTTCGGCACTCGGAGGTCTCGTTCTGTGAGCTTGTGTGGCCTACCACTTTGTGGCTGAGCCTTTGTTGTTCTAGATGTTTCCACTTCACAATAACAGCACTTACAGTTGACCGAGGCAGCTCTAGCAGGGCAGAAATGTGATGAACTGACTTGTTGGAAAGGTGGCATCCTATGACAGTGCCACATTGAAAGTCACTGAGCTCTTATTTAAGGCCATTTTACTGCCAATGTTTGTCTATGGAGATTGCATGGCTGTGTGCTCGATTTTAAGCACCTGTCAGAAACAGGTGTGGCTAAAATAGCTGAATTTGAAGGGGTGTCCACATACATTTGTATATATAGTATACATTTCTTTGGCTAATATATTTCTTAAATGTAATTTTTGCTGAAATATTAAGACAAATATGTTATATAATATGTTGATTTCATGAATAATTTCATATTATAGGTGTAATGAGAAAGGATGGAACTCACTTTTACTTCTGCATTTGCAGGGACCACACATCTCTCCTGTAATCCAAACCAAATTATTATGTCAGGGACCGAACACTGGGTACCAAATATTACAAAAATAGAAATGTTTGGATGTTTTTAACATACCTTAGGTGTAGTACTCTTGATTGTCATTTTGGTGTGATGCGCCTGCACTGTTATAGTAACTTTAACGTATATAGTTGCGTTGTGTTTGTTCTCACCGTGAAGCTGAAAGGAAGAAAAGATTTGTAGAAAGATGCAAACCTCCCTGTAAACAATAAGGTAGCAGAAAATAAAGTTGGATTGAATGGAATTGAAAACAGCATTAAGTAGGCTCTACAAAGATATTATCTGCCTTGAAATCATCCCTCTCTTACTATATTTCAGTCTTAATTTACCCAGTCAGTTGGACCTTTAAAGCATTCTTTATTCCAAAGTGGTACGTCTTAAAATCCAAAACCTGGGTGCCATCATTCTCACTAAAAACAACGATAGGAAGGATACATTTTGACAACTTCATTAAAATAAAATAGTAAAATGATACATTTTTACTCAACTGAAGATCTTTTAAGAAGTATGGAATCAAACCATGTTAGGTTTGCTGTGATCTCAGCATCTCTGATTTATTGTTCACAAGCTGCCAGGAGATGGAGAAATTGACCTAGGGTATTGTAATGATGAGTTTCTCTGGCATCAAGTAATTAAGTACGCAAGAAGATACTTAAACACTTACATGGAGAGTTGATTCAAAGTATTTAATATTGCAGTACCGGGTTCACATAGCAAACGGCACGTGGGTGGCCCATTGCTATCTGAACTCACTGAACAAAGGAAATCTCTTAGTTTATATAATGCTTTCCGAGCTAATTCCATCCAACAGTTGTCAACCATTATTGAGTGTCACTCCTCACCAGAATATGATCACCCTATATGGTATCGTGTTGCACCCTAGTCAGGATATTCCATCACGTACTCCTCCTAAGATTAGCACCAGTGGCCCCCCAGCTATCTTGGCACGCATACCTTCTGGCACCCACCAGTGACAGAAATAAATATATGGAATGTCCTCATCCTCCAAATACTATGCAGCTCACAATATTTCAAACATGAACTAATCCTGTATAAAAGACGTAATATCAGGTATCAAAACAAAAAAGAAACATGTTGACAGGTCTGAGAAAAAGGACATTTCAATTTTGATGGGAGACATTTGGCTTGAGTAATGCCACTAGGCTGTATTATTTAAGTCATGGTGGGTATCTGTACCTGGGTATTTTTCTTGAAGACTGGATGTAAGAGACGACACTTCAAATAAGAAATATTCTCTTTAACTTTGTTCTCACAAACAGACCTTTCCATTTTCTGTGAATGATGAACAGAACAATAGTCAGTCAGTTGCTGACTCCTTTGTCAGTCAATGCAACAAAGCTGACCTAATATTTCCAACCTCATATCTTGTTCTCAGGACTCAACAAATATATTTTTGTTTCACTCAGGATAAATTACCATTGTGAACTTGTTAAAAAGAAGCATGTTGGGGTATGCCAGAACAAGTGTTGTCATGTAGGCACTATCCCCAATGTTGGTCAGATTGAAGTCAATCATCAAGTTCTGTCTCGATCCGATTATGACCATATCCTTGCAAATGACAGGATAAAAAGGACAATAAATAATCTGTTTGGGTATGAAATCAATGACTAAGTATTTCCACCTTGTTAAAAATAAGTGTTTGTATACTGAACAAATATATAAACGCAACATGCAACAATTTCAAAGATTTTGCTGAGTTACAGTTCATATAAGGAAACCAATCAATTGAAAAATGCATTAGGCCCTAATCTATGGATTTCACATGACTGGGCAGGGGTGCAGCCATGGGTGGGCCTGGGAGGGCATAGGTCCACCCACTTGGGAACCAGGCCGACCCACTGGGGAGCCAGGCCCAGCCAATCAGAATGAGTTTTTCCCCACAAAAGGGTTTTATTACAGACAGAAATACTCCCCCCTTTTGTGTTTGGAAGCAGATGGCCAGGGTGACCTGCTCCATCTTGGTTTTTGTGTTTGTCTGCGCGGATGTGGGGATGGTGTTGGGCTTCATGGTCAGCTTGGGTTTAAACACGATGACAGGTATTGTTCTGGTAGAAATTCAGAGTTTTGAGATTATTCAGTAAATGGACAGTGCATACACTCTTTAAACAAGCTGCTACCTAGAACCGTAAAGCGATTCATACAGGGACAGCCGAGGAACCCTTTGCGGTTCTAGGTAGCACCTTTTTTTCTAAGAGCATTCTACTAAATGGAACAGTAAACACATCTGTGGTGGACATATACAGTACAGGGCTTCCTGTACATACATTCCTGCTGTCTATACTCACTTCAGGACAGTGACAGTGCCTTGGCTCCCGACACTGATGTAAAGCTGTCTCTTCCTGTCAGCACCTTTTTTGTCAGAGAAGGCACTCACAGACTGGCCAAAGGGGCGGAGTTTCATCTCAAATTCTGCAGCTTTAATTCTCTAGAAGTAAGAACAAGTCATGAACACTTGTCATAATCAATAACCGCATGTTAATTCATGAAAACACTATGTGTGATGTTATATTTGGGTTCTGTATAAAGTCCTTTCACTGCAGGCATTAGGATAATTGCAAGAGGCTCTATGTCAGCAAGTCCTTCTTGGATTCCGTTATAGATATAGATGCTTCCAGAACAGCCACATATCTCATCTTCCTCCAGAGGAGCTCCAACTGCCACGTCGTTGTATCCGTTCCCATCCAGGTCCCCAAAAGAAGAGATGGCCGAACCAAATCTGGCAAATACGTAGCTGTCCAGCCCCTGCCACTCCCATGACTCCTTATCAAACTTACCCTGGGACAGAACCCTCACAACCATCAGAAAAGTACAGTTATGAGTACTGAAATGCAATTTTATGAGTGCATCTCTACTGATCTGGTTTAGCTTGAAGATGATCACTCTGCCCTCCTCTCCTCTCTGGTGGAAGTACGGTACTCCTACAAGCAGATAGTCTGTTTTAGTGTCCCCGTTAAAGTCCAGAGCACACAGCACAGATCCAAAATAAGAGCCCCTGCAGAGTGGAGATTTGGGATATTATTTGTAACCTCCACAAGATGGCAGTAAGCATCAGGTTCTGTACTCTAACAGTGGAACCAAAGATGGATACAGTACCTGTCCAAGTTTATTTCTTAGATGGATATCACAATATATTGGTTATACACATAGACCTACCTGGTCACCCGGTAGTATTTCCTGCAATTTGTGTGAAGTTGCATTGAAGACTTGAACCTCCCCCCCCGACGGTTTTAAAGATAATTTCCTGCAATTCTATGAATTTTGACATGGCTTAGGCCTATGACCATGGTAGAAAATTAAAATATATAAACCACAGGTCAGGTGTATTCAGGATGCTTTGAACATTAAATGAACACTCAAAATTCGACGACTTTGTTACATTGAAATCTTGGGGGGATTACATTTAAAATATTCTAATATATTTTAGGTGGTTTGACACTATATTCAGACAGTAATGAAATTAGATAGGGAGATAGGCAAGTGCTAGAAACAGTGGAAAGGTTGGAAGCAGGGACTGATTCCTGTTCTCAGGTGGAAAGTTGTATGCGACAGGTATTGTATTGTATTTGTATTTATTACGGATCCCCATTAGCGGCTGCCAAGGCAGCAGCTACTTTTCCTGGGGTCCAATCACAATTGACATAAAATAGAATAATACATAACACAACATATTATTACACACTACTCTACCATAACATATTTACAATACAAAATCAATAATACAGCAAAATAACAATATTAAGATGTGTGTGTGTAGAGTGCGTGTGTTAGCATGTGTTTGTGAATGCTGTGTGTGTGCCTGTGTGTCTCTTCACAGTCCGCGCTGTTCCATAAAGTGGAGTTTTATCTGTTTTTTAAATCTGATTTTACTGCTTGACTGAGTTACATGATGTGGAATAGAGTTCCATGTAGTCATGGCTCTATGTAGTACTGTGCGTTTCCCGTAGTCTGATCTGGACTTGGGGACTGTGAAGAGACCTCTGGTGGCATGTTTCGTGGGGTATGCATGGGTGTCCAAGCATTCCAAACAGACAGCTCGGTACATTCAGCTTACATTTACATTTTAGTCATTTAGCAGACGCTCTTATCCAGAGCGACTTACAGTTAGTGAATACATATTTTTTTTATACTGGCCCCCCGTGGGAATCGAACCCACAACCCTGGCGTTGCAAACGCCATGCTCTATCAACTGAGCTACATCCCTGCCGGCCATTCCCTCCCCTACCCTGGACGACGCTGGGCCAATTGTGCGCCGCCCATGAGTCTCCTGGTCGCGGCCGGCGGCGAGCTTGTCAACACCTCTTAAAAAAACAAGCAGTGATGAAGTCAATCTCTCTTCCACTCTAAGCCAGGAGAGACTAACATGCATGTCATTAATGTTAGCTCTCCGTGTACTTTTAAGGGCCAGCCGTGCTGCCATGTTCTGAGCCAACTGCAATTTTCCCAAGTCCCTCCTTGTGGCAGCTGACCACACTACTGAACAGTAGTCTATGTGCAACAAAACTAGGGCCTGTAGGACCTGCCTTGTTGATAGTGTTGTTAAGAAGGCAGAGCAGTGCATAATTATGGACATACTTCTCCCCATTTTAGCTACTGTTGTATCAATATGTTTTGACCAAGACAGTTTACAATCCAGGGTTACTCCAAGCAGTTTAGTCACCTCAACTTGCTCAATTTCCACATTATTCATTATGAGATGTAGTTGAGGTTTAGGGTTTATTGAATGATTTGACCCAAATACAATGCTTTTAGTTTTGGAAATATTTAGGACTAACTTATTCCTTGCCACCCATTCCGAAACTAACTGCAACTCTTTGTTAAGTGTTGCAGTTATTTCAGTTGCTGCAGCAGCTGACGTGTATAGTGTTGAGTCATCCACATACATAGACATACTGGCTTTACTCAAAGCCAGTGGCATATCGTTAGTAAAGATGGAAAAAAGTAAGGGGCCTAAACAGCTGCCCTGGGGAATTCCTGATTCTACCTGGATTAAGTTTGAGAGGCTTCCATTAAAGAACACCCTCTGTGTTCTGTTAGACAAGTAACTCTTTATCCACATTATAGCAAGGGGTGTAAAGCCATAACACATACGTTTTTCCAGCAGCAGACTATGATCGATAATGTCAAAAGCCACACTGAAGTCTAACAAAACAGCCCCCACAATCTTTTTATCAATTTCTCTCAGCCAATCATCAGTAATTTGTGTAAGTGCTGTGCTTGTTGAATGTCCTTCCCTATAAGCATGCTGAAAGTTTGTTGTCAATTTGTTTACTGTAAAATAGCATTGTATCTGGTCAAACACCATTTTTTCCAATAGTTTACTGAGGGTTGGTAACAGGCTAATTGGTCATCTATTTCAGCCAGTAAAGGTGGCTTTACTATTCTTAGGTAGCGGAATGACTTTTGCTTCTCTCCAAGCCTTGGGGCACAGACATTCTAGTAGGCTTAAATTGAAAATATGGCAAATAGGAGTGGCAATATCAACCGCTATTATCCTCAGTACTTTTCCATCCAAGTTGTCAGACCCGTTGGCTTGTCATTGTTAATAGACAACAATAATTATTTCACCTCTTCCACTCTCACTTTACGGAATTCAAAATTACAATGCTTGTCTTTCATAATTTGGTCAGATATACTTGGATGTGTAGTGTCAGTAATTGTTGCTGGCATGTCATGCCTAAGTTTGCCAATGAAAAAATTATTAAGTTCCCAAGTTCTCTCACGTCACCCCGCTCCTCCGCACACTCCACTGGCTTCCAGTTGAAGCTCACATCTGCTACAAGACCATGGTGCTTGCCTACGGAGCTGTGAGGGGAACGGCACCTCCGTACCTTCAGGCTCTGATCATTCCCTACACCCAAACGAGGGCATTGCGTTCATCCACCTCTGGCCTGCTGGCCCCCCTACCTCTGCGGAAGCACAGTTCCCGCTCAGTCCAGTCAAAACTGTTCGCTGCTCTGGCACCCCAATGGTGGAACAAGCTCCCTCACGACGCCAGGACAGCGGAGTCACTCACCACCTTCCGGAGACATTTGAAACCCCACCTCTTTAAGGAATACCTGGGATAGGATAAAGTAATCCTTCTACCCCCCCTTACCCCACCCCAAAGAAAATAAATAAAAGTAAAAAATATTGTAAAGTGGTTATCCCACTGGCTATAAGGTGAATGCACCAATTTGTAAGTCGCTCTGGATAAGAGCGTCTGCTAAATTACATAAATGTAATGTAAATGTGATGAATGGGCCATCTGATTCAATGAATGATGGAGCTGAGTTTGCCTTTTTTCCCAAAATGTCATTTAAGGTGCTGGGGAGTGTTACCACTACACCAAGGCTCTGCACAGGACATTTTAATATTAATGGTTGATGGCAGTGGGTAACTAAATCATAGATTGCAGTCTCCTTGTCCATAGACTGCTTTCAAGGTAAGGACACAAACATTTTGTATTTTGTCATTTGGGTGAACTCTTTCTTTAAAATTGGGCTAATTTCGCAAAATCACGCAACCTTCCAGAAAAATCTAATGAATATCAATATTCAAGTAGTTTATGCCTACTAGTTGAACATCCTTGCCATCATCTTACGTAGACAAAAAAGTATGCTATTATGAGTTGAGAGTCCCCCTACCATTTCTGCCTAGCATGTGCACAATACTAAAATGTCATAAATTATATTTGATTCCTGGAGCATTCAATATCCAATGCTTATTCAAAACTGTCCATGAATGGCTGCAAAAATACATAGCCTCATATAACACAATTTCAAAAGACACAAGTAGGCATATCAGATTTCAAATATGTGATTACACTGGCAAAATTGGGAAGAAGTGGAATAATAAAATAAGTGTGGGGAATATCAGTAGTGTTCTTGCTGACAAGCACAGTAATTACCCTATATTTTAGCCCATTGTTAAGAATGAGTATTGTTCCACTGATCAGACGAAATAAAGTAAATAGATAATAAAATCTATTGAAGACAAGATTACATAAATCTGCCCCAATACTCTAACCAAATTATTATGTACACAAAATAATTAGGGATGTACATACATTTTTAGAGTGTACATAATAATAGGGGAGGGGGGGGTAGTTCAAACATTTTAAAGGGTTCTTTTAAGAATTTATAGGGGATCCCCCACAGTTCCAATTTGAAGAACCCCTAAAGGATACTCCAGGAACCTTTTCTTTTTAGTGTAGAATCAAACTTACACTTTTGGGTTCAAAATCTGTTTGTCAAAGTGATTTTCATAGTTGCAAATCATGTCACCCTACCAAACTTCCCTGCTAAAACATACTGTAGGTTGGTCTGCTGCCTTTTCATTGTCACAGCCTAAAGGCCAATCACCAAACAAGGGGACTAATGCAAGTGGGGATTAAGTCTGCAATAGGGACGGGAGTAACAGCAACCTAATTTTGTTGACAACATTATACATAAAACAGCGCTACCGTGCTGCACATTTTACAGTTTTATAAACTCAGCGGAGAATGTCCTCTCTCTCCATTCAGCTCCACTCTAACCTTTCTTTAAAACATTCATCCAATCCCCCTGATCCCTTACATAACTAGACCAATCATATGCTTCAATGTGCGGCGGTTCACAGTGCTGTGGCAAGACAGGACAATGATAGAGGTTCTGCTCGTGATGTTAAATTACAGGCGCAGATGCTCCGATTTCTAAACGATTTGGAGCACAGTTAAAAACTTAACACGCTGACTATATAATTGACTAATTAGAAAAATAAAAGCAGTACTTTTCTATGCGTGAGATATAAGAGGTGTGCCATGAGAAGAGGGGCAAATGCGTGTGTCTCATGGCCAATGCGTGAGAGTTGGCAGCTCTGACCTTCAGTTATGGCGTCGTGATGAGGATGAGCAATACAAAACAAAAACCATCGAAAACGTTGTCTGTGTGTGAAACTGCATGTCCCATAATCTCTCTTGAAACAGATTAAACACTGCGAGAATTTAACTTCTGGATAACCGAGATTACATGTCCCATAGTTTACCTAAGTAGGAGAACCTTGGCTCTGAGGATGACCCATTTTAAGAAGGTAACCTTATTCTCCTTGGGGTGTTTTAAGATCACTCCTCCACTCCAGTCATTGGCCCCCACAGCACCAAACAGTAGGGACCCCCAGGAAGAGGAGGGAATGGATGTTACTAGCCAGAAGCCAATAAAAGAATAGAGACAAATCTGAGGCAAGTGGATAGAGATACTATTATGATCCTCAAACTGCACCTCAGATATGGTCACGGTCTCCAGCTAATAGGAAGATTACAAGTTGGATCATGGCACCCCAGACTGCAGACCAACTAGAAAACCAGTGTGTAAAAAACAAAGTTGAAAAACAAACAACTTACATCAAGTGCAATGTGATTGCTGAATCCAGCCTCGGCGAGTTGAAATTGAAAGCCATCCCCCTGCTTGATTCCTGGTTTATAAATCAGAGTGACACAAACATATTGTTATAAAGTGATTCAGAAATAAGATTTCTAATGGGGTAGGATGTAAAATGCACCTTACAACCTGTCAGTGTTACGCTACCCTCGACCTCCTACATTAAATTGCACACATACAGTATATGACGATAATGGGACACAATGTAAAGGTTACACTGACGATTACAGCCTTTAAGTGTTACCTTCGATTCCTTTGATGATACTGGTCTCTAGCTGGGAGAGGATGCCCTCCAAGGCTTTATAGTCACCAACCAAGAACAGGTTACTCTCACTGGCGCTAATCATCTTCATTTCGTCTATTTTGGTTTCATTACCAACCTGTGATTCATAAATGTACAGAGAAAATCTATGTCTTGATATACCAGAATATAAGTTAACTTTTTAATTGAATCAATTAAACCTGTTACTTTAGTCAGGAAGATGAATAAAATGTTCACAAAAGACAACACTCACCCCAATAGCAAATCTGGTGATATTTTTTGTTTCAAGCAAGTTCATTGCTTTTGACAAATGTGTCTTATCCCAATGGGATATTGCTCCATCTGACACCACTATCATGATTTTCTTGGAGTCCTCTTTGGACCCATTCTCAGGAACAAAAACGTTTTCACTGAAAATACAAATTTAAACAAATCTCAACAATGTAATGATATTTTCTATCTAAATGATGTAAAAATATGGGCCTATAGTATGGTACTTACATACGTTTTCGATCTGTTTAATGTTATTGACCATTTCTAAAGCTGTTGGCCAGTCTTTCTCATTCAGTGACAGTTCAGTTCTGATTTTCGATCCATACTGAACAATAGCAAAATCACACTATAAAAATAAAAAACATATTTATTTTGTTATCACAATAAAATATGATCATATTTTATTTTTTTAAGCCAATACTAGAGAAAGCACAGTTGTATGGCCAAATATTTTGTTGACGTGTACATTAATGTTGATCAATACTTGCATTGAAACATTTTTCCCAAACATTTTTCATCACAGTTGAGATGCATTTTTTTGCCCATTCAAAGTCAGCCTTTTCAATACTACCAGATCCGTCAAGTACAATTGCAATCTCAGTCCCAGGATCTAGAAACAAAACAGCAAAATTGTACATAAAAAAAAATAACACCACGCACATACAGTAACTTCCCTGTATTTGTCATAAATGTAGCCCCACCATCCTTCTCATCATCCTCATCACTGTTGTTGTTGTTGTTTTGGTTGTAATTGTTGTTGTTGTTGTTGTTGTTGTGATTGTTGCCATTGATGGTGATGTTTCTTTCCATTTGATCTACAACTTAAATTAAAAAAAGGTAGACATTCATGTTATGATGTCAGGGCATAGAATCGTGAGGACCGAGGTAGAGTTACGAGATAATTGGTTTGGGGCCATGGAGTCTACATTCCTTATGTCAAAGGAGATTACTGATATTTAGGGTAGTATGATTGATGGACAGGATATAATGACTTGGGGCAAAGGGTAATAACAACAGAGAAAGGGAGTGCCTATGATGGTTGCCAGATGTATGTGAAAGGAAGGATAACCAAGAGTATAAAAGCTGTGAGATTTGTGTGTGTGGGCAGTTCAACTCAATGGACAAAGGGCAGAGCTATGTCCATTTGTTAGATGAACCCACGAGCTCGTGATCCAATAAATACTTGGTATAAAATCTCCACAGAATGTCTAAGTAAATTCTTGCATCTTGAACTTCTCAATACCAGAAACTCATCATAACAGATTGGCGTCTAAACGAACAGGATGCAGTTCACAGCCAGACTAACAGGTAAGCAGACTTTCATTTTTTGGATTATGTCAAATTCTGCTTATCTGTGGTAAGGCTTAGCTGTAACGGACCTTTAAAATGCAATATTTTTAAAGGGGGACGATGAGTGGTCTTGAATTATGTAAAGGGATGTAAGGAGGAATATCAAATTAGACAATGACATGGTGCTATGATTCAAAATAGGGTGTGTTCGAAGTAAGGAGTAAAAGCAACAGAGTAGAGAGAGATTAGGCGCAGTGCACCTTTAATGATGTTATTCATTATAAAGAGAGATTAGGCGTAGTACACCTTTAATGATAATTCATTGTAAAGAAAGAGAAATAGGTTATGGATTTATGATGTGTTGTTGTGAAGCTCTGATGTGTTGGACCATCATGGGAGTTATAATGCTCTGATGTGTTGTATCATCATAGGAGTAAAATAGATGAAGCTCTGATGTGTTGTATCATCATAGGAGTAAATCGGTAAAGAGAGAAATAGGTTACGGACGTATTGGACGAATATTTTTTCTTCAACGAGGCGGCCGCGAAGGATATCATACAGACACCCGACAAGGCCCAAATCCCCGTCATTCGCGTGAGGAAGAGACGGAGATATCGTGGACGTAGATCGGGGTACCTTGTAAGGATCCGACGGCGAGCGAGTAAACTGCCTCTTCCATCAATCCTATTAGCCAACGTTCAGTCATTTGAAAATAAATTGGATGACTTAAGATTACAGTTATCCTACCAACGGGACATTAAAAACTGTAATATCTTATGTTTCACCGAGTCGTGGCTGAACGACGACATGGATTTCATACAGCTAGCGGGCTATACGCTACATCGGCAGGATAGAACGGCTGACTCCGGTAAGACAAGGGGTGGCGGTCTGTGTATATTTGTAAACAACAGCTGGTGCACAAAATCAAATACTAAGGAAGTCTCAAGGTTTTGCTCGCCTGAGGTAGAGTATCTTATTATAAGCTGTAGACCACACTATTTACCAAGAGAGTTTTCATCTATATTTTTCATAGCTGTCTATTTACCACCACAAACCAATGCTGGCATTAAGATTGCACTGAATGAGTTGTACAAGGCCATAAATCAACAGGAAAACGCTCATCCAGATGCAGCGCTCCTAGTGGCCGGGGACTTTAATGCAGGGAAACTTAAATCCGTTCTACCTAATTTCTACCAGCATGTTAAATGTGCAACCAGAGGAAAAAAAAACTCTAGACCACCTTTACTCCACACACAGAGACGCATACAAAGCTCTCCCTCGCCCTCCATTTGGCAAATCTGACCATAACTCTATCCTCCTGATTCCTGCTTATAAGCAAAAACTAAAGCAGGAAGCACCAGTGACTCGGTTAATAAAAAAGTGGTCAGATGACGCAGATGCTAAGCTACAGGACTGTTTTGCTAGCACAGACTGGAACATGTTCCGGGATTCTTCAGACAGCATTGAGGAGTACACCACATCAGTCACTGGCTTCATCAATAAGTGCATCGATGATGTCGTCACCACAGTGACCGTACGTACATACCCCAACCAGAAGCCATGGATTACAGGAAACATCCGCACTGAGCTAAAGGGTAGAGCTGCCGCTTTCAAGGAACGTGACTCTAACCCGGACGCTTATAAGAAATCCCGCTATGACCTCCGACGAACCATCAAACAGGCAAAGAGTCAATACAGGACTAAGATTGAATTGTACTACACTGGCTCTGACGCTCGTCGGATGTGGCAGGGCTTGAAAACTATTACAGACTACAAAGGGAAGCACAGCCGCGAGCTGCCCAGTGACACAAGCCTACCAGATGAGCTAAACCACTTCTATGCTCGCTTCGAGGCAAGCAACACTGAAGCATGCATGAGAGCACCAGCTGTTCCGGATGACTATGTGATCACGCTCTCCGTAGCCGATGTGAGTAAGACTTTTAAGCAGGTCAACATTCACAAGGCCGCAGGGCCAGACGGATTACCAGGACGTGTACTCCGAGCATGTGCTGACCAACTGGCAAGTGTCTTCACTGACATTTTCAACATGTCCCTGACTGAGTCTGTAATACCAACATGTTTCAAGCAGACCACCATAGTCCCTGTGCCCAAGGACTCTAAGATAACCTGCCTAAATGACTACCGACCCGTAGCACTGACGTCTGTAGCCATGAAGTGCTTTGAAAGGCTGGTCATGGCTCACATCAACAGCATTATCCCAGAAACCCTAGACCCACTCCAATTTGCATACCGCCCCAACAGATCCACAGATGATGCAATCTCTATTGCACTCCACACTGCCCTTTCCCACCTGGACAAGAGGAACACCTACGTGAGAATGCTATTCATTGACTACAGCTCAGCATTCAACACCATAGTGCCCTCTAAGCTCATCACTAAGCTAAGGATCCTGGGACTAAACACCTCCCTCTGCAACTGGATCCTGGACTTCCTGACGGGCCGCCCCCAGGTGGTAAGGGTAGGTAACAACACATCTGCCACACTGATCCTCAACACGGGGGCCCCTCAGGGGTGCGTGCTCAGTCCCCTCCTGTACTCTCTGTTCACCCATGACTGCATGGCCAGGCATGACTCCAACACCATCATTAAGTTTGCCGACGACACAACAGTGGTAGGCCTGATCACCGACAACGATGAGACAGCCTATAGGGAGGAGGTCAGAGACCTGGCCGTGTGGTGCCAGGACAACAACCTCTCCCTCAATGTGACCAATACAAAGGAGATGATTGTGGACTAAAGGAAAAAAAAGAGGACTGAGCACGCCCCCATTCTCATCGACGGGGCTGTAGTGGAACAGGTTGAGAGCTTCAAGTTCCTTGGTGTCCACATCACCAACGAACTATCATGGTCCAAACACACATAGACAGTCGTGAAGAGGGCACGACAAAGCCTATTCCCCCTCAGGAGACTGAAAAGATTTGGCATGGGTCCTCAGATCGTCAAAAAATGCTACAGCTGCACCATCGAGAGCATCCTGACTGGTTGCATCACCGCCTGGTATGGCAACTGCTTGGCCTCCGACCGCAAGGCACTACAGAGGGTAGTGCGTACGGCCCAGTACATCACTGGGGCCAAGCTTCCTGCCATCCAGGACCTCTATACCAGGCGGTGTCAGAGGAAGGCCCTCAAAATTGTCAAAGACTCCAGCCACCCTAGTCATAGACTGTTCTCTCTGCTACCGCTCGGCAAGCGGTACCGGAGTGCCAAGTCTAGGTCCAAAAGACTTCTCAACAGCTTCTACCCCCAAGCCATAAGACTCCTGAACAGCTAATCATGGCTACCCGGACTATTTGCACTGCCCCCCCACCCCATCCTTTTTACGCTGCTGCTACTCTGTTAATTATTTATGCATGGTCACTTTAACTCTACCCACATGTACATATTACCTCAACTACCTCAACTAGCCGGTGCCCCCGCACATTGACTCTGCAACGGTACCCCCCTGTATATATAGCCTCCCTACTGTCACTTTATTTTACTTCTGCTCTTTTTTTTCTCAACACTTTTTTTGTAGTTGTTTTATTTTTATTTTTTTGTTAAAAATAAATGCACTGTTGGTTAAGGGCTGTAAGTAAGCATTTCACTGTAATGTCTGCACCTGTTGTATTCGGCGCATGTGACCAATAAAATTTGATCAGATTTGATTTGATGTGGGAGGACATCATAAAATGAAATAGATGGTGAAATACTCAAAACGGCCAGGAGAGGGGGCCGACGAAATGTAACATATTGAATCATAGCACCAAAAAACTACATTTTAATACATATCAGGATGGAGATTTTAATATAAGTATTTAATTATTAATAATTGCATGTACTAATAACAGTAATGAATGGCCAGCTTAGTAGACCGGTATATATATATATATATATATATATATTTTTTTTTTTAAGTCACCATTAAGAGTAAATCGGAGCTTCATTTAACTTGAAGAGATAGACAGGAAGTGACGAAATTATTACAACAAATCCATGGTTAGAATAAGTATTTTGTAAAAGTAATGTAAAATTAAGTAATTGAATGGGACAAAATTGGCTATCTTATGAGCAAAGAGCAGAAGGTAATTTGAATCTGAAGGGTGCAAAATAAGTTCTAAAAATGGGTATAATCATTTGATATAAGTTTGGATAAGAAGTTACGATATATGACATAATAAGGTCATAGAATATCAAGGAGTGGTAAATAGAGCTTGATGTTATTTTAGAGAGTAGTGGAAAGTCTGTGTTTTCTGGGACAGGAATGGCAGTGTCCTTGGAAATTACAGTATTTGTTTGGTTCCGCTGGGAGAATGAATGAGAGGCTGATTTGGGTTGAGTGAGGATTGTTAAACTAACTAAAGTATTCTTTGATGTGAGTACCTAGAAGTTTCTAACGGTCTATATGGAGTTTGTGACAAATGTGAAAATATGATCCATTTTACGTATGGGTAGGTGATTATTAGAGATTTCATAAAATAATAATTTGAATAATAATTATATATTAACTTGCTCACCCAAACGTAGACGTACATCGTGGGTGGAAAAGTAATTAATAGGGGTTTTCTAAGTTTGTACCGTAGTTGGATAATGTGATCGAGATAAGATTTACGGAATAAACTGACCGTGAGTAAAGTGGTTAAAGACGTAAGTTATAATATTGTACAAAGCCAATTTAGGGTTTCCATCAAAATAAAACTCATTATGGAGCGAATACGATGTAATAAAGGAATTTCATTATGTCGCAAGGGAAACATAATCAGTTTTATTAAAATCGCCAGATCTATTTCCAAATCAATGAATGTGGATTTGACTCGTTGACTGCTAATTTATTCATTTTGAGTACATGAGAGATTTGCAAAGAATCACTTGAAATACTTTTTTAAGGCTATTTTCTTGTAATTGTGTCATTATTATGTACCAGAGGTTAAGACTACAAACCATTGTAGTTGGACTATTTGTGGGACTTATTGTCTTTTCAAAAGGCATCGGTTCCATGGTACTGACTAAAATCTGTATTTATGAGTGTAATTCAACTGATGCTTGAGCGGATAATACAAAGTATTTGGTTTGGTGTTACTTGTAGCCTACGTAGAAAGGATAGTTACCTACATCTGCTATATTCTGATAATGGAGGAGTGTTGTTTTAAGATGAGCTGTGACTATAATCTTAGTTGATGGCAGGATATCCTGAATGAGGGATACCTGTTGCTAGTTAAGTGTACTAATCTTGGATTACTTTACGGGATAGAAGTAAGTTAAGGTATTATCAAAGGTTGTCATTTTAATTTCATTAGGGTTTAATAAACAATGTTGGTGTTTTGTTTTTGAAAGCATGTATCAAGTTGTGACTCGTGTCCAATGGGGGAAAGTACTATTCGAATGAGAATTATTGATAAATATGCAAATTATATTAAGAATATGAGCAGTAGTAAGTAATGTGTTATGGGTTAGATTAAATGTTTTAGGGGAAAATGTATTTGTAGTATAAGGTAGTATTTAGAGGAGGCCTTTCTATGACATGAGTGGACTGCAACAAGTTGCAAGAATGTGCACTTCCTAATCTAAAAGGCTTATCAGGACTGATAATAAGAAAGGATGAAGTAGCATGCTGTGTTTCAACTAACAATGTTATGCAGACTTTCTTTCAAAAAGGTGAAGGCTTGTCTGCCAGACCTACCAGGAGAATTTGGACATTTTCTGCGACTTGGAGACTATGTGGTGGTAAAGGATTAATGAAGTCAGAGATGGAAAAACCCAAGTGGGAAGGTTAGTAATAGGTGTTGATGGCTACCTTGATGGAGGGGCAAGTAAGAGAGACAGATTACTAGATCTATATGTACCATTGTAGGACTTTTCTAACGCAGAGGAGGAAGATGGTACCGCTTCGGCTGGGAATTGTTTTGTTTTGTCTGTGTGTTTTTGCAGCAGGGACCATTGGTACGCTGATGGAAGGACACACTCCACAGAGAGATGGTGATAAATGGAGAAGGACTATGTATGATCATAGAACTAGTGAAGGAAGAAGGTTCATGCATCGTCACACAGTCTACACCAACGGAGGTATAGATAGAGGGGAGATTGAACAGGTATCATGTCAACCACTGCAACAGATGGCTACGAGGAAACTGACGATCTAGATATGAGGATACTGTTGATGACAATTATCAGGTGATGGAAGACGATGTCAGAGGAATGATACTCATGAGCTGTGGGTTATGGCTGATTACCTCAGTGGAGGCACAGAGCTATAGACCTCCAAGAATTTCAAGAGATTCAAGAGTTTATATGGATTTATTGGTTTAGAAATGAAATCAATTAAACTGTTATGTTTTGTCTTCTAGTGAGATAAATACAGATGCTGTCTTGATGCATAGTAGGGATAATTTGGCCTAGCATGGTGTGAACTTAAATAAATAAAACGAACAAACTATGAACCGGCTGAAGATGAATATCAGAGGCGCTGAAGACGTTTTTGTAAAATACCACTTATAGATGCAACTGGTGTACAACAACCAATCGAAGATATCAAAGGATTTTCTCATGTTTTTATACCGAAGAAGTGGGAAAGGAGTCCACCATTGAGTGAGAATGGAGAAAGATATAAAAAAATAAAAAAATAACATTGTAAAGTGGTTATCCCACTGGCTATAAGGTGAATGCACCAATTTGTAAGTCGCTCTGGACAAGAGCGTCTGCTAAATGACGTAAATGTAAATGTAAATGTAGAAAGGGAGTGCCTATGATGGTTGCCAGATGTATGTGAAAGGAAGGATAACCAAGAGTATAAAAGCTGTGAGATTTGTGAGTGTGGGCAGTTCAACTGACAAAGGGCAGAGCTATGTCCGTTTGTTAGATGAACCCACGAGCTCGTGATCCAATAAATATTTGGTATACAATCTCCACAGAATGTCTAAATAAATTCTTGCATCTTGAACTTCTCAATACCAGAAACTCATCACAACAATTCGTTACTAACTTTACACTCTTTATATGACGATATGTTTCCATAGTCTAAATTGCCCTCTCTTCATCTGAGATCTAACTTTTTAACAGCTGTTTCCATTGGTTCAATATCATAGGAATTCCTACCTAGCGTGGCAGGATAATAAACCTCATGCTTCAAAAGGCCAGACAGGAGTGTACAGTTTCCATTAAGATCCTCATTTATGTTCTTCTGCTTCCTGACCTGTTGGCAGACCTGATGAGAGGAGAGCAGAGCAAGTCATCAGCCCACATGGCATAATGTTTAGCGGGATAGTTCTTCTGCAGGCTGATCACCTGTCCAAGATAACTTGCTTACTGACTTAATCCTCTTTGTTCCTGGAGGAACATAGGGCCCAAGATAATGGTGATTTGAACTGTATTTACTTGGCTGGACAAACACCCTTCTTTAAAGATTCAAAATAGGATGTCTAAAGTGGAACAGGAAACAAATCGGTGACTTTTTCTCAATCTTCAGACAGGACACTGTATGGTACCAGGGCAGTATATTGTTTTCCTACACCTTGTGCTCAAAAAACTGATGTGGATGCCTGTGTGCATGCAAGTGTCTGTCTGAATGTTGCCACAGTGAGACTCAATGGTGAGAACATGACTAATAACTGCAGCAGACAAATTAATCAAACTCTGTTGATAAATTATTTTAACAACAGAGTTTGAGGAAGCATTTCTATGCTAGACTTATAGACGATTATGTATTGTTTTAGACCAGAGATGTGGTCCTACTCTGTGAGTCCATGTATTAAAACAATCTTACTGTAGCAGAACCTAATCAGTTACATTGGAAAAGTGTTAAGGGAAGAGTGGGGCCCATTCTTCATGATGAGAGAGTGAAGTAATGTGAAAGGCAGAGGTTAGGAGCGTCTGATGCCTACAGAGGAAGAAGCTGTGGCTTTGCTGAGAGACCATTGACTAGAGCAGTGTTTCCCAACTCCGGTCCTTGAGTACCCCCAACAGCACACATTTTTGTTGTAGCACTGGACAAAAACACCTGATTCAACTTGTCAAGGGCTTGATGATTAGTTGACAAGTAGAATCAGTTGCGCTTGTCCGGGGCCACAACAAAAGATATGCACTGTTGGGGGTACTTGAGGACCAGAGTTGGGAAACACTGGACTAGACGACGATTCTGCTTCTACTCTTATCTGATTTACTGCCATACAATTAACACACAAATGAAATACAACACAGCTCTTAGTTGTCTTGTACTACTATAACCATTTGTCATACAGCCAAGCCAATATACTGTGTCATCATGTACAAATCAAGGACAAATGTCATAAAAAGTCATGACACTTTCATGAGTGACCTTTTCACTTATTGTGAATGGCAAATTAAATCTACTGTCTTAGAATACATACAATGTACTGCTCCTTCTCCCAAGTCAAACTGTTGGTTACTGCCAAGATGGGTCGGAGTCCTTCACCTGCATTGGCTACAAAACAAGTCGACTTGGATTCAGCATATGATTAACAAAAACAGACACTGAAATTTACTAGAATAACTGAACCTACTTCTGAAATTTGGATTAGCAAGAGTTGCATAGTTCACCTAAGATACTGACTTCAGTGCATTTTTCCAGACCACAACTGAATACTTTTTGGGGTCTAGAATTTGGGGATGTAACCAATACCCTGTTGAATTACATAAGAGAATATGGATACAGAGAAAATAATCTAGATGTAATACAGTATTGTAGGTCTATATGACATGAACACAAATTAATTTGACATAACAGATAACAGATGATGCCATAGTGACTTACCCATCTTTGGACTGAACAGTAGTTTGCCCAAATAGTTCATCATCGTTCTGAAAATACTTTTCTGGTTTTCTGAAAATGTTGAAGCCTGCTACTGTGCATATCACTGTAACGCAACGAGATGTCAGGTCTGAAGCTACGATACAGACTTTTTATCACTCTTTACATTAATTGAATGAGTTAATGCCTAATGCTCAAAAGCATAACACATAATACATACCAGTCAGCAAAATGTGTCCTCGAATCATGTTTCTAGTGGAACATGTCAGGTCTGGGAAAAATAAACTGATCAGTCTTATCGTAACTTGCTTGTAACCTATCAAACTTTTTGACAACTTCTCATATATGCTCTTCCATACACTGCACATGAATAACGTTATTCTGGAGTGCTGACTGCTAGATTTCCTAGAGGTGATGACATCACAACATCACTGTCAGACAGACAGATAGTGGTGGTAGTGGTGGGTGGTGGCTCTTGCCTTGTTGTCATGTAAACCCTTGGGTTGTGTGAAAGTGCACAACATGCAGTACATTACATTACATACAATGTATCATTACAATACAAATACATTACATACTGTATAATGCATTTAGCGCGAAGTGGAAACAGTAGGCGTGTATTTTCAGTTCAATTTTTGTAGGTATCATTTTAAACATGAATTGATCTTTTGATCTGTTTCCTGTAACTGCTCTCTCTCCCTTGTCTATAATCTTTTTTTGTTGCCTGTTTTACATGTTATTTTGGCATTAATACGTGTCACATACCAGTTTGCAAACAGTGTAGAAAAATAATAATATAATAATTGAGTTAATAAGCCGCATACAAACTTGGTCTCTTTTTTGCTTTCTTGAGTACGGCAGCTCTAAAATGCAGATGTTTCAGCCTAGCTCAGTGCTCTCTGTGGTGGTGGGGCAGCCAGAGGAAAATACGGGTCGGAGCGGTTGGTAATGTTCTCTAGTTGTGCTGTGATTGGCTCAGTGTTCTGTCACTCATGGGGTCACTGCCAAATCTAAGGGTAGAGATCGAAAATTCAAGCCCCTTGGTTGCTGCCATAGAGTTACATTAGAATTGCCCATCCAAGAAGGCTCAAGGTCATTGCGACAAATAAAATGACATCAAATTACGTTATATGTACAGTAGCTTTAATTGGACTGATCAACATCATACTTTCAAAATCTTGAATTAAGTCAACAATCTACTGGCAAATCCTTTTCAATCTTTGTCATATGAAGAGAAATTATGAAGTTAAATTATAGATAAAATGTATCGGTGCTCATCGGCCATTGGACATAAACATTACACAACAAGTTGGAAATCGTAAATTCAATAATGAGTGGTTTGGAAGGAATCAGTGGCTAACTGCAAGCATTGCAAAGCAATCACTAGCCTGCTATTCAGTGGAGTGGGTGTGTGATCCAAGTCTGGGTTCAAGGGTCTCTTTTCCAAGCTTTAAAGGATAAACATTCAACATTGGCCATGCTTTCAATCCAATATGACTTCGGCCGCATTCGAAACAACTGGAAACTCGGAACTGGGAAATCTCAGACTTCCGTGAGTTCAAGACAACTGGGAACTCTGAAAAAAAGGAGCTCCGCCTGGGAAAATACGTTTTGAATGGTCATCCAACTCGGGAACTCTGGCCTCTTTCTAGAGCTACGACCTGAAGATTTTTGCAGCAGTTTGCCGACGTGGCCAAGGCCTACCAGTCACGCTATGGGGATCTGGGAGCCTACGCCAGCTCAAGGAAATGTCTGATGAAGCAGAAAGACAGGATGATGGCGGCCGAGGCGGAAGCTTAGACACTGCAACCCCTAATCACTCTGTACCAAGTCTCAGTTTGGGGCGGCAGGTAGCTTAGTGGTTAAGAGCGTTGTGCCAGTAACCGAAAGGTCGCTGGTTCTAATCCCCGAGCCGACTAGGTGAAAAATCTGTCTGTGCCCTTGAGCAAGGCACTTAACCCTAATTGCTCTGGATAAGAGCGTCTGCTAAATGAATAAAATGTAAATGTAAGATCACTGACGTCATGATTCGACCTTGTTTTTTTCAGAGTTCCCAGTTGTCTTGAAAGCACCATAAATGCAGAGAATGCCAGACTTTGATGAAAAAATTTCCCACGAAGGACCGCCGCGCCACCTTCCTGTTCAAGTAAGCACAGCACAAGGTGAATCCAAAAATGTATTGTATGCTGATGCATAAATTATGTAATATGCCAGGGAAATATGTATACTGTAGCTATAAGAAAGCAATACTAAGTGTATGTTGTTTAGTAAGCTGTTAGTAGCCCATGTGCCTCACCCTAATAATTTGCTCCCTTTTCCCCTAATAACTTAGCCTACTGTTCTGACTTGGTGGTGCACATTTAGCCTATAGCCTGTTTTAGAGAAATGTCATCATCGAATATTGTAAGAGCTTTCATTGTCTGCTTATATGCCCCCTTTATTTATCCTATGATTCTGACTTGTTGTACAGGGAGAATACTGTAAGAATTGGCCATGTTCTGAATTCTTTCGCTGTACATTTCAAAAGTGCTGAACAAATAGTTATATTGACTAAGTCCGTCCTAGCTCGCTCATTGTCTTAATCAAAATTACGGATTGCCTCTTATCCGCTCATCGTACCCTTATGCCATAGTTTGTACATCTCAATTGTCAGTAGAAATCACATTTGTTTAAGCAAGTCAGCCATGTTTTTTTTTAAAGGCAGTAAATGAGGCTGAATGAACTGTTTCGCTGCCAGATAAGGCTCCGCTGATAGCTAGGTGTAGCAGTGGTAAGGTGTTGGGACTGCTGTTGGCACTCTGCTGTGGGGATAGCTTTATGTAGGCCCTAACAGTTTGTGGGCACCGTTTGTCACCGTTATAGTGCAATTCATGTATTGTTTAGTGTTGTGTTGTGTGGTGGCTTTGCTGGCATGCATACAACATTTGGGGGGGGGGGGGGGGGGGGGGGGAGTTTGCCCCACCAAGATTTACATGCTAAAATGTGTCTTTCCATTGTTATAAAGGAAGTAAGTTCTTGAGTAGTCATGGTGAATGTATTTTGTGACAACACATATGTTAGTTACAAAAACTATAGTGACAAAGAGAGAATCTCAATTGGTTTTGCTTGACTCCTCGCATCCTCTCCTCTGTCCTCTCCTTGCCTGCTTTTGAAAAAGGTCAAATGTAATCGAGGAGTGGAGGCAGGAGAGGAAACAAATGCGCTTGTATGAAATGACTCTCCTTCTCCACTCATGCGTCATCAGGCAAATGACGTTTAGAGGGATTGAATCCCAAAAGAAATGTGTAAAGTGTGAAAACCAATTGAACTAGTTGTATGCAAGACATATTATAGATGAAAGGATAGGTAGCATATCGTTTAAAAATGTGTGCATGCTTTTCTCCTTTGAGAAAACAGCTGATTCAAAGGGGATGTGGCGGATTTTAAAACACTTCCGTGCTAGACGCCGGGAGGATACTCTTGTGCGTCCTCTGCCGAAGTAGGTAATCGAGGAGGTGAGCAGACTCCTCCATTCGTCTACTAACGAATTGACTCTCTCCTCAACCACTCATCAGATTCTGGTTCATGCAGGAGGAGAATGGAGGAATCGAGGAGAGGATGGACATTTTACCAATTGAGAATCTCCCAACGACCCAAATAATAACAAATAAATATATTATAATAAATATAATCTCATGGTTGATCTTAGTATAATTTCTGCCTCTTATTTCCATGATCAGTCTTTACAATATTAATTTGTATACATTTATTTTGTATACCTTTTTTAGTCAACATTGTGTAGCACACAGGGATTCATATTGGAGGTGTGTTCATTACAACCTCTACTTTCTTGTCAAAAGACATGTTAACATGAGGGCTACAACAAAAAAAATGCTTTGACCCAAATGTTAATCTACATATGCTTGTGTCTCACTCTTGACTGTCAACCCACCCCCACCCCACACTGCATCCATTGTACGGGTTGGTGTGAGGTGTGACCCAGGTGCGGTGCAGGATAGACAGTAGGCAGCAGGCAAGGATGGTGAAACAAGGATCTTTACTGGTGGTCCAAAAGCCAGGATACAAAACAACGGACTATACACGAAAACAAATGAGGAGCACATAGGTCTCCAAAAAACAGGCTGACAACAAACAATACGAAATACTAACTCTGACTGGAAAAACACAGTGGAGAACACTTCTCGAGTACCTGTAACTCCGTCACGTGATCCGACACTGATACGTGCTGCTTGACATCAAGGAACTAGCAGAGAAAACTGAGCAAGGGAACACAGGTAAGTGAGGGCATAAATACACAGATGAATCAGATAGCAACAGGTGACACCATTAGGCAGATAATTAGTCCCGACTGTAAGTGAGGAGGTGCCTATGGTTGTCGGAGGATGACACCTAGTGGGTCGCTCCAGAACTGCGACCCACTCCTGTAACATCCATCCAACAGACAGAGGCCTAGTTAGAGTGTGGTTTACCTTTTTATTTCTTTTATTACCTTTATTTAAATAGGCAGGTCAGTTAAGAACAAATTCTTACTTACAATGGCGGCCTACAAAAAGGCAAAAGGCTTCCTGCTGGGACAGGGGCTGGGATTAAAAATAATATATATATATATATATATATATATATATATATACATACATACATACATACACACATACATACAGTTGAAGTGGGATGTTTACATACACCTTAGCCAAATACATTTAAACTCAGTTTTCACAATTCCTGACATTTAATCCTAGTAAAAATTCCCTGTCTTAGGTCAATTAGGATCACCACTTTATTTTAAGAATGTGAAATGTCAGAATAATAGTAGAGAGATTGATTTACTTCAGCTTTTATTTATTTCATCACATTCCCAGTGGGTCAGAAGGTTACATACACTTAATTAGTATTTGGTAGCATTGCCTTTAAATTGTTTAACTTGGGTCAAACTTTTCGGGTAGCCTTCCACAAGCTACCCACAATAAGTTGGGTGAATTTTGGCCCATTCCTCCTGACAGAGCTGGTGTAACTGAGTCAGGTTTGTAGGCCTCCTTGCTCGCACACGCTTTTTCAGTTCTGCCCACAAAGTTTCTATAGGATTGAGGTCAGGGCTTTGTGATGG